TAAATGTTGTGGCTTGGCTCTCTAACACACCGGTGTGCTGTACTAGTAACGAATTGGCCACGTTCTGTTTACGTGACAACCCTTACTAATTGGCTATGTCGGGTGGTGGCGGGTTTAACGACACATTTATATTCACGCGATCTAACCCAAAAACACTATTATGGATAATATTGGTCACAAATGCCTACGTATTAAACATCTATCCCTCTATTTAAGGAACGAAACAGGAGCATTTCTCCACAAATCTGGCTGTCACCTGATGCAACTAGTTGTAATTACTGGCAAAAACGTCGTACTCAGATTGTAAATGTTTGCTCTCCAACACACCGGTGTGCTGTCCCCTCCTGCCTTCTTTCTCATCAACACCGTATCTTTAGGGGTCCCCCCCCAATCCCCGTGCTAATTTTTCATACCTTTCTTTTACTTTGGCGTGGTCCGGAGACCCCTAAAGCTCCTCGGCATGACCCCTACGTCTCCTCAGCGTGACCCCCTACATCTCTTCGGCGTGACCCCCTACATCTCTTCGGCGTGACCCCCTACATCTCTTCGGCGTGACCCCTAATGCTCCTCGGCATGACCCCTTCGTCTCCTCATCGTGACCCCTACATAACCTCGGCGTGACCCCGGACGAGCTCGAGACACACGTGGATGTTATTGCATGGGAGTCGCGGTATTAATGGGATAACTTTGATAATCGGCCTCATAAATACTGTAAACCTGAAATAGAAAAAAAAACATATTGTAAAGCTATACAGTTGCGTTGTAGAACCAGGTGGAGACAGAACTTCTTGTAAGGGCTTTCGCCATTTATTAACACGGTTTAAACACTCGGCTCACAACAGGGGTAAGTGTTCTCTATACTCGGTCTTTCCCGTGGACCCCCAAGCTCTACTCGTCCTAACCTCGGCTATCCCTTGGGCTCTCTCAGGCCGGGACGGGGGTTCATCAAACACCGCCCGGCCAAGGAGAGAAGAACCCACTCACTCTCAGCCGATTATCATAGATTGCCTTGTCTTGCACAAGCACAAATCAATACAGTACGACAAACTATGTCAAAAAACAGTTGCACGTACAGTGTTGCTCTTATATTCAGGGTTGCCACAGTGGCGAGATGTTAACTACCTCGCCTTGTATACAGGAGGTCGTGGGTTTGATCCCGACTGATGCGTGTATATTTGGAGTCTGCATGTCTCTATCTCTCTGTGATCGCGTGGATTTTTCTCCGGGTACTCCGGTATTTCCCCTCCACATTTAGAATCAACATCACGCGTTTGAATTATTTGACTGCTATAACTTTCCACGTGATAAGCCAATTTCGTTGAGCTATCATTTGTGGCCAGGTCGCTTTTGAAAAAAAGAGCTATACAGCTCAGTGGGTCTTCCCTGGTAAAACAAAACAATATATCTTGGTTCTTTCGGTAAAGTCACGTAGAAAGGAAACAATAACATAAAAAAAATATAAAACAATAAAATTCTCACGACGTTTCAACTGCAACACAAGCAATCATCATCAGGTGTGAAAACCATAGCAGTCCGAGACATGTCGTTTGGTTTCTCCAATGTAACTTCGTGAACACAAATCAGACCTAAAACACGGTAGGACCAACACCTCGGCCGTGGCAGATGGCTGTTATAATACAGTAGGCTCACATGACATTGACTTCTCCAAGACATAGGTTCTTTACAAGCCATCTGGCTACCATGAGAGATTCGTTCATGAGGCTATCCACATATACAAACACAGAGACAATTTTAACCGAGAAGATGGATTCTGGCTTAGCAATCATTGGAAGGATTTGATAAACCATTTCGGGTCTTAATTGATTGTTCACGCTTATGGTGGCTTTCAGACTGCATCCATTATTTTCGTCTCCCCCCTCCTCTTTTCCAAACATAGATGGACTCGTCCATCTGAACAAACTGTCAAATCGCTCTCCGTGGTGGTAACGTTAAAATAACCGCCACTTTTTTCAAATTTTCTTGCTGTGGTTTTCACACCTGATGATGATTGCTTGTGTTGCAGTCAAAACGTCGTGAGAATTTTATTGTTTTATATTTTTATTATTTTATTGTTTCCATTCTACGTGACTTTAGCGAAAGAACCAAGAATATGAATCCCTGCAGTCACGAAAGCTTTAAAGCTTTGAATCAAAATATATTTTGGCACAATAATTCTGTTGTGATCAGTCTCAAAAATATCTGCCCAAGCCGCCTCACGAAACAGGGAATGTATTGAACACTGGTTTATTCATGGAGTGTTTTCCATTTCTCGCGTGACACAGTTGTTTTTGCTCTGATTTCTATTTGCTTCATTGCTGCAGTCTACTTGACTTTACTAGTTTGTCGGTTCGGTGAGCTCGAGGTCACTCTTGCGAATGAGACATCCTGGCCTATCGAGTTATCGCGTGGTTAAACAAAAGCAACGTTAAAACTGTAACATCACCACTAGATGGCAGCATAAGCGTAATCGTTATTTATACTGGAAGCCTAATGAGCTATGAAGCTAAATTTCACAGTCGTGGTTGGGCCAGCAAGTTACAAAAACAATATCAAAACACGATAGGAGTGCAAAGTAGATACAAAGGTTTGCAAATTACTGAACACAAATAATAAACGTATACAAGTCCGATGTTTAAACACTAAATGTAAGCTTAGGCAAGGCGGCAAAACAAAAACGATCACAGACCACACCAAGCCGACAACACAAAGTCCATCAATTAAATGGCATGTTAAAATTTAACTACCAATACCTATTATTATACCAATGCACGGGTTAGAGGTCTCTACTTTGTAACATGCTTCCGTTAATCAGCTCAACTTGATGAGGTTAAAAGTAAACCGTTTTAGTTTTTGAAAAAATAAGAATAGGTTTTACGCTTTTCTGGCAATCAAACAGGAGGTGTTAAGATGAGAAAAATAAAAAATAAAATTACATAATATACGTTTCGATTGCAACGCAAGCAATCATCATCAGGTAGAGGAAACACATAACCGCAGATATATATACAGACCTTAAGTAGAGGGAATTTACACAGATATACCAGGGGATACAGAGAGATGGAACATCACACTAAATCAAACAGGGTTTAGCAAAATTTGGAAACTATGAAGCAATTTTGCTAAACCCTGTTTGATTTAGTGTGATGTTCCGTCTCTCTGTATCCCCTGGTATATCTGTGGTAATTCCCTATACTCAAGGTCTGTATATATCTGCGGTTATGTGTTTCCTCTACCTGATGATGATTGCTTGTGTTGCAATCGAAACGTCGTATATTATGTAATTTTATTTACATTTTTCTTATTTCTATGTGACTTTACCGAAAAAAACAAAGATTAATTCCTGCAGTCACGAAAGCATCAAATCTAGGTGTTAAGATGTTCAAACACCAAATGGATACATTTCGCAAGGAATCACGTTACTGCATTAACCACGTACTTGTGGTGAACATGCAAACAAACATGCTCTGATAATATATGGGCATTGTCTTTAAAACTGATTGGCCTACACCAGAGACAGCAGCCTTCTTTATGGCCCAGTCTCACCAGTGTCAGACGAGAGAACGCCAAAAGGTGAACAGCGCAAAGACAATGCACGTAGCGTAGCACTTATAGTTCGGGGTGAGCAGCTATATCATGAGATATCTTTAATGGAGACTTGATTCCTTGTTGTTTGAACAGCTTAACTAACACCTGTTGTATTGCCATAAAGGGTAAGGGGCCGTCCATAAATGACGTCACGCACACACAGACATTTGTGACGAAGGGGGGGGGGGGGGGTTGAGAAATGTGACGTCACATCAAAATTCGCAACTTTAAATAAATATAGACAACACGTTCTACTTAATTAAATGGACTTTTTAATAAATGTTTTCTCCTACAACATCAGATTGCAGTGCCACATTAAATACGCACTACAATGACCCGTGCGCACACACGTCCTCACATGTGCGCACACACACACACGTTCTCACATGTGTGTCTGTGTGCGCACATGTGCACACACAGACACACATGTGCGCACACACACTCACATGTGCGCACACACACTCACATGTGCGCACACACACTCACATGTGCGCACACACACACACTCACATGTGCGCTGATGTATAGTATATAACCATTTATTTATTTAAGAAAATATGTTTTAAAATATTTTATTGCCAAACCTGCCTTAAAGATGCACGTACTTATTAGCATGTCTTAACTTTTAGGTTGCCTCTAACCCAGTGGCAGCAGCATAACTATCGTGGGGGGCAGGGGTGCCTTGCCCCCCCCCTCGGTAGCCAAAGCTACGAGTTGGGGGGGGTGCATCAAAGATTAAAATTTTATTTAAAACATGGTTTAAATAATTTTAAAAAATAATAATTTCAAGTACGTTCCGCGTTTTAGTTGAATGTAATTAGAGCGGTAACATAATATGGCAAAGATGTTACTGTGGAGCTGTAGTCGCGGTCTCATTGTGCGAAAGCGGAGCGCCCCTACAGCAATAAATGTTCGAGACCGTGAGTGTAACGACGACGTCATTAGTAGGCAAGAGGAGTCTGCGATATTTCATAGCCTGGGTGAGACCGTGCGTGACGAATCAGATATTGGGGCCCCAACCAGACTGATTGCCGCACCCCCTGAGCTGATAATGTCGATACTCCACCACTGATAATGTAGTCACTTAGCCACTTGGTGGCGACCCAAGTGAGTTGTATTCGTGCCATACCCGAGCACGCCTGGGAGGGTCCACTTGCCACGACGAACTGCCACAGTGAAAGTGGAGCCAACTCCAGCACCTGCCGTGAGGCCACAGGGTTCAGGGTGCCAAAGAGACGTCTTAAAAGCTGCAGTACATGGTACGAGCCCCCTGAGCCCACTTAGTCGACTTGGATTTATGCTGAGACTTCAATGGAACGTCATCCGCCGTTCTAACAGTTCCCAGTTCTCACTGTTCGTACGCAGGCCGCTAGTATTGGGAACTGTAGTGGTCAAGTAAATGAAGAGCAGGCTAATTAAAGATGCATGCAGACTTGTGTTTATTTTGGCCAAGTTACATGAACAGCGTGTTCACAATCAATGCCAATGGATGGAAAACACCCCGACTCCTCCCTTACAAACTCGTCGAACCTCCACCTCGCCAGGCATGCAGCGTGCACGTGCAATTACTAAAGCGGAGCGTAACGAGCGCGCGCGTGTACACATACTTAAACCACTTTCCTCACCACCCGTGTACAAAACCCAGAGTTAATTACCATACCCCTCTTTCCACTAGCGATATTAGTCGGTCGCCATATTGGATGGTTTTTCCACTAGCCATTTGCCGGGCAGAGCCAGAACCGAGCAGCGGTACGCGGGCTTCACGATACATTCTTAGGGAACTTGATGCGATAGACGTGGCCCCTTACTCGTTCGCCGCTTGTTGCAGAGGTCCGTGGTTTGGATCAATCAGCCGCCCCGATTATAACAATGCCGGTGTAACAAACGGAAGAATACCATGCTATCTGCTGAAGTGGACGTTGAGTATCCCTTGATGCGAGTCACAAGAATGGCCAAATGTGTGTGGGCATTAGGGTCCAAATCTGCGAAATGCAAAAAATTGCCCGCAAGTAACTCATTTGGGACGATGCAAAGGGATCATCGCTCCCTTTTGGCAGAATGATTCCCTCAGTTCATGGTTGCAAATGAGACTCATTCTGGCCTCTTGCTCTCACCGATTTAAGTACACTTTATTAATCTGCCTCATGGCCAAGCAAGGCCAGGGCAAATGATTTGTTCATCGTGTGTGACGTCAGTTAGTACGCTGTGAGGACAGTGTCACTGCGTCATCTAGATGCGACTCAACATAGTCAATTGCGTGTGACGTCAGCAGCGCGGCTCGGATTCTGTCATGGAAAAAACAGCCTGGCTGGCTCTGCTCTGTCGAAACTCAAGTCTATAGTGGAAGAGAGATACAAGTAAGCAAATGCTGAATCGTGTTCAGACTTTGTAGCTCATCATAGTGCGCTACTGCACAGGGGTGGGCAAACCATTTTGCTAAAAAGTAGCATGTACTAATTCTACAAATCGATTAAAAAAATATTTTCTATCCTTGACTCTCTATTCATCAAAGTCATATCTCAACGTGTCCCCCCTTTCATTAACAGGGCTTCAATTCATGCCACCGTCAATGCCTCCAGCATTTCTCATGCCCTCAAGAATGCTGCTGGTAGCTCCTATCCTCAGTCTTTAATGCTAGGCCCTGACATTTTGGAAAATGTCCATTGCATCTCAAATCTAGCTTGAAAAGTACTCGAAAGGGTTACGAAGTAACAGCTCAAACAATGTCCTCTATAGTGGTCTCCACAGCCACGTAAGCCTGGTTTTTAGCCAAGGACAATCTGTATAAAGACACCCCTCCTACGTGTGGACAGTTATTGTCTCTCCCCTGATCATGGGTCTTTCGTCTAGTTTTTCCAGACTAGGTTATAGGCATTGCATAACTACCACCGCCTTTGGATAATCTTGTGGGAGACTGAATGCCAGTTATTGTAAGATTTGGGCTGTGAGGTGACCAGCATTCATAGTACAAATTCTTGATTCTATCTATTACAGGATCATTAATTCAGTAAAGCGCTAAAAACGCATGGCTTTCATTACGCGATTAAGAACGTAGACAATGTGGGTTTTAAAAATAACCTTGAAAATTAGTGAATGGGCCGGTGTTATTTATTAACGTATTTCTAAACACACGTTGGTCACGTCACACGCATCTCCACAATGCAGCCTGTTTCATGCACGGCGGTCACTCATCCTAGAGCTAGCCAGGCTCATACTGCTTAGCTGCTGAGATCGGGCACCCATTCCCGGCCATTTATCACGAGCTATGCCGAGTGTGGGCAGCCAGAGGTGTGGTGGCACAGCAGCATCAATTGTACCACTGCTGTGCCCTCACGTTTATGCCTCCCCTGCCTTTAGACAATCCGCACGAACCAGCGTGGTGAAGTATGGTCAAATAGCCTGCCCCCCCCCCCCCAACAATGAGTGCAGTGTAGGCATTGGCATAATTCACGGGGAGCAGGACTCGCGGTTCGTGCCACTGGGTACTGTGCAGGCCGTGGGGGTGCGGAGTTCTCTCCGCGTCCGAATACGGTGCCAACCCTCCACCCCCGAGGTTGGGATGAACGAGACGGTGGAGCTGGTGGGAGTGTAGAAGTATATACCCATCTTCTTGGTTCTTTCGGTAAAGTCACGTTGAGCTTCCTTCGCGCTGTACGTAGCTAACTGAGATCATCAAAGTGCCATTGAATGCGTCGCCACTCACCTGACATTCAGTTTCCCCAAAATGATGTTATTCTTTGACTAAACTACTAAACAGTAACAAATTAAAAAAAAAGGAATTATTTTTTTGTTAACACATTAAAGTGTACAAAAAGCTAAATAATAACAATAATTAAGAAAATTCAGAAACCCAAACCCAATTAACCTGCACCAAAAGCATTGCGGTGCTTCTGTGCACGTTGAAGAGTGACATTGGCCAGCAACCTGTGCATCCGTGCGTGAGTGTGTGCGCGAGGACGTGTGCATGCATTTAAGTACGTAGCTGCGTGTGCCCATGTGTAGAATTAACCCATTAACACCTGAGAACAGACCCAGGTGTTATGGGCCTGCCACAGCAAGCCTTGACACTTCACGCGATGGCTTCAAAGTGCACCGAGCCTCGCACAAACGCCATGGTGACATCCCCGCCACTTAGCGGGCAAACGGCAACCGTTGTTGTTGTTGTTGTGTTTAGAGGGTTACCCATACATGCCAAGTTGATATTCTGGTTGCTGACCATTGGGGAAAGGTGTTTCCTGGTGAGTCTGCGCTCCCGCGTGTGGACGTGGCACCGTGCGTTTCCCCCTTAGAAGATTCTCTCGGATTCTGCAAATCGGACGGTCTTGGTCGCCTTCTCGCTCGCGACTCTGCTGTCTCCGTGGTGTCCGGCGTTCTGCGGAAGGGGTCGGGGGAAAGGCCAAAGATCGAGACGTCATCGTGGCCAAAGCCGCAGACGCCACCACTGCACCTCGCGGCCAACGTTCTCTACGCTTGTCCAGATCTCACAGCTTCTGCGCAGGAGAGGCACTCAGCGACCTCCAAAATATGCCCCTGATGGTCTCCCACCATCTGCCCCTTGGGTCTTCCCCTTAGTCATGGGACTCAACCACAGGGAGAGGTGGGAAGCAAACAAAGCCGAGTTGGTACCAGTGCCAAGGAAGTCACATCTATGAGTCATCAATATCAATAGGAAAATACATCAGAGGGTTCTTTATTCATTAATTCATGACTCACATTGGACTTGAAAATGACATTTGGAGGTGCAGGAGAGTAAATTAAAGAAAAGTTTTCAGACAGAAGGTTGACAACGATGCTGATGTGTGGCGCAGTGAGAGGAAGGATAGGAACTGCTGGTGACAAAGACAAAGATCCCCCATATAGACTAAACAGACTGTTGGGGCAAGTGCTGTTTGTGGGAAAATATGAAAGCTGGAATAGCACACGAGGGGGTGGGTGTCTAGCACCATACCCGACCTGCTTTGTCTCCCCAGTGGCAATGTTTTACACCTTGAGGCGAAGTCGCCCGTTCAGATAATTGTCGCTGGTGTTGGCCATGAGCGGGAATTGAACTCGGGTCACTGGGCCCGCAGCGCTCCAACCGCTACATCACCACTGCCGATTAACAACATCAATAACAACCTCTATCTGCAACTAAGTGGCGGTGATGTCACCACATCACTTGTGCCAGGCTTTGTGGACTTTCAGGCCACGTGAAGTGCCAAACGCCTGCTGGCAGGAGGTCACAGGACAGACCCAGGTGCGATGGGTTTACTGACTGAGATGGCTGGCAGATGCACCACCTGTGCCCCCTACTTTGCCGATGAACACACAGACACATATAGACATACACAGAGGAAGGAGCTCCAACAAGAAGACCCCCACCCCCCATATTAAACCATCGTGGGGGAGTAGGGGAGAGTGGGGGTGGGGGTGGCACTCACCTGCACGGAGTAGTTGCTGTACACGCACTCTCCGTACGTGGGCACCAGGCGTAGGTACGGGTACTCCGTCTCCCGCCTGCAAGAAAGAGCGGCGGTCACGGAGAGGAGGACGGTGCTCGTGGGGTTCGGTCCGAGCGGCCGGGGTCGCAGCGCCGTTGGGAATTAAACTAAAAACCAAACTATTTTTATTTCATCAGGTAAGGCCTCAACTGAGCTACATCGCTTTTTTTCGCAAGTGACCTGGACACAAAGGATAGCTCAATGAAGTGGCGTATCATGTGGAAATGCACAGCCACCAAATCCTTTAAATGCATGATTCTAAATGTGGAGGGACAAACCAGAGGACCCGCAGAAAAATCCACACGACCACGGCGAGAGAGAGACACTCAAACACCAACTACACAGCAGGCGTCAGGGTCAGGATCAAACCCACGACCGCCTGCAAACCAGGCGAGGGAGATAACATCTCGACGCTGTGGCACCCATTATATTTAATTGGCACTCGCTGCAGGAGCCACGGGGCCCTTACTTGGCGGCGGTGTTCACCACGGTGGACGACTGCATGGTCGACCTTTGGCTCATGGACATCCTCAACCTCTCCATCTCCTGTGCACAGACAAAGATCCCCCGTTTAGGTTTAACAGACTGTTGAGGCAAGTGTTGTTAGCGAGCACCTCCTCTGCACACACACACACAAGTTCACACATGTAGGGTGGCATGGTAGCAACGTCGTGGTAACACTTGCGCCTCGTGAGCAAGAAGCACCCGGGTTAATTTCCTGACTCGGACGCCCCTCTGTGTTTGTATGTTCTCCCCTTGTTCTGCATGGATTTCCGAAGATTTCTCCTTGTTTCCTCCCATAACTAAAATAATCGCACAGTGTAACCGGTATTGGCCAAAATATCTGAATGGTGAAAAATACCTGAAAATTTACTCAATCAGGATCGCAGGGAGCAGTAGCAACATCGCTCCCCTCCAGTGAAAAAAACTTCCCCGGACCCTTCCGGAAAGAGAATCTTGAGACTCCGTAACCATCCACCTCTCCGGCAAATCAACAAGAGTAATTATTAGCATTATTTGGAGCCATGATTTAGTTCAAGAATTACGTTTTCTTTGTCTCTTTAAGTTCTGTTTTGTTTATTTTGACTTGGTCATCCCATTGTCTTAATAGAGCAATGTCTGATAATCAAATCACCTGCAATGCACCGAATCTCATCACATCTCGGACGTCGAGCACAGTTGAGCCTGGAAAGTGCTGGAATGGGCGATCACCATGCATGGCAGGTTATCATAGGCAGCTGTGGGGCTACTTTGTGGTTGGTGGAGGTAGCTTTGTGATATCCGCTTCTATAGGGCATTGATATGGCCTCGCAAGCAGTGCATTCACCACTTGTTGTGGAGCTTCGTAGTTGAATCCAGCGGCCCGCTCTAATTATTATTAGGGCTGGCAGTAATAATTACTAATAATTACCACAGCAATAATTACCAGTAATAATTATTACTGCGGTGTGTATTTCTAATTTTATCAAGGATTTTACGTTGCATATTTGTCAAAGCACTTGACAAGAAACAACAAAATAATAAAATATATTATTTTGCTGTTTCCCTTCAACGTGACTTTACCGAAAGAACTAATAATATGAATTACTGCAGTCACGAAAGCTTTAAATCAAGAATGATACATTTTACATTAATATTGGCTGATGGGGAAAAGGGTTGGAGTTTGAGTGTTGGGGAGGGGAAGGGATGGCAAGGAAAGGTAATGATAGGGAAAGGGAGAGGATGGCGAGGTTAGGAAGGTTAAGGTGGAGGATGGTTAAGGGTTTAAGGATGCGGACAGGACGAAGTAATTGCCGGAATTATACCACGCGCCGCCAGCATCGCTCAAAGTGGACGTTTACGATCCCCCTGCGTCATTCGCATTGTGTGCCACCAGCTTCAGAGTCCACATTTTACCAAATTCAAAAATTTACACCGCAAATGACTCAACTGGGATTGTAGGTAGTGGCAATCGTCGCCTCCCAACTGGCAGACTAACGCCCTGGGTCACTCGCAAATGAGACATCACCCTTGGGTCTCTTGCATTTCCATCGGGTTAAACAAAGTCAACGTTACTTTTTTCTCTTCCAACATAGCGTGGTCACATCCTGCTCCCCTACTGCTCCGTGACGCGATGGCCACCCAGTACAATCGGGTGGAAAATAGAAAATAAACGGTGGAGAAGACAACAATGGAGACATCTATGGCACATATCTTTGCCTGTATCAAAGTATGAATAATGATAATAGGTTTTAACCTTTCTGGCAATTAAATAGGTGTTAAGATGTTCAAATACCAAATAGATGCCTTTTTCAGAAGCAACCACGCAAACATGCTCTGATGATATATGGAGTGTCAATGTATATAATTATCAGAGCATGTTTGTTTGCATGTTCACCATAAGTACGTGTGGTTATAATGCAGACTTCATTCCTTGTAAAAGGTTTCTATATAGTGTTTGAACATCTTAACACCTCCTGTTTTGTTCCAGAAAGGGTAAACACCTATTCTTATTTTGACAACGGAAATGTAGTGCGAAAGAAAGGGATCGTGTGTCACCTCGCGGAGTGTGGCGATGATCTGTTCCTGCTGGGAGATGGTGCGCTGCAGCTCAGCCAGGCGCTGGTCACTGCCCTGGCTCGAACTCTGGCTCTGCTGCTGGAAGCTCTCGATCCTCATCTGCACAAGACAAAGATCCACCCCCCTTTTAACAGACTGTCACAGCAAGTGCTGTTAAGCGAGCATCTCTCAGGTTCTTTATTTCTCCTGGGAGAAATCCGATGAGCTATGAAACTCTTTTTCACAGACGTCCGGGAGATGTCCTTATGAAAGTCGGCACGGCACACGAGGGGGTGGCTGGGCAACACCACGCCCGGCCGCCTTTGACTCCCCAGTGGCGATGTTTACAAATCACACCAAGTACTCATTTGAATCTGAGTCGACCTAGGGGAGAACCAGGACAGGTTCAAATGATCGTGACTGGTGGTGGCCGTGAGCGGGAATTGAACTGGGGTTGCCGGGTTCATAGCGCAATGCGCTAACCGCTACACTTCAGCTGTCCACTCAGCAACACAAATACAAAAATCCCCCATTTAGCCTTAACAGATTGTTGGGGAAAGTGCTATTAGCAAGCACCTATGAAGGCCGACACGGCACACGAAGGGGTGGGTGGCCAGCACCATGCCTATCGGGCTTTGTCTCCCTAGTGGCGATGTTTTACGCACCGCACCAGGTACTCATTTGAGGCCGAGTCGACCTAGGGAAGGCACAGGATCGGTTCAGATAATCGTCATTGGTGTTAGCTCTGAGCAGGAATCGAAATAGACCTCGGGTCGCTGGGTTTGTAGCGCACACTACCGCTCTCCACCCATCGACACACACGCACGCACACACACGCACACACGCACACACACATGCACGCACACAACTTTCCTGACTGCAGGAATCCATACTCTTTGGTTCTTTCGGTTGTGAGAAACAATGTATGCCCTCCATCCACAATAACCCTTTATTAGTGGACCCTATATTTCCATGATCCTATGAACAGCTTCCTAAAAATGTGGATAAAATAAGGTGATATGTGATGTGGCGTGTAATTTAAATAATTCCCAGAGTGGTGAATCCAAAGCACTGACAATGACAGAGAAGCCATCTGTTCTCTCACTAGTTCAAGATTGGGTGCACAGTCGGTACCGTTTTAATCGAGGCCTTCGTGAGAAAGGAGAATCGCGTTTAGCCGATGGCGTCTAGACGTGCGGACGTGCCACTCCTACGTTCGTTGCAAACGACTCCAACTAAGCGGAATGCGACATCGGGACTGTCATTATTTTTTACAGGGATAACCTATTCAATGTAAAACTATTTTGCTGGATTAAGCCTTTACTATTCGATATCCCATTGTGTTCAAACAGATCATGTATCGCGTTTCACGTTCATGTTTGTTAAAGCGGGCAAGTGAGACTTCAAGAGAGCAGGATTAGAGACTCGCTCGCCGTGTGCGACCCCTTGGGTCACCAAAGTGGCCAAAGCGATGTAATGAAAGCGAATCGGGATCGGAGCAAAAAACGCAAGTTGGCTCGGACAAATGACTCTGAATACTTTACTCGTTAAAAATAAGTCACGTCATGAGAAGCCAAAGAGCTGAATAGGACTCTGACAGGGTAATGGGCAAGAGGCCGTTGAAGCGACGGAAGTGAACGAAGTGCGACAAAATCAGTGGCGCAGTTTTTGGCAGCTCAAAAAATACTGCCCACTTCTGATGTCCACCCGCTGCAGCTAAGATGAGAAGATGGTTTCAAATTAAGCAACCACTGGAAAGATGTTCTAAATCGAACCAAACATTAAACTAATTTTCAATGGTACAGTATATTTTTCAAGTAGTGGTACCCCAAACTTTGGCAGCTCTTAAAAAAAAATTCCCTTTTCACACCATCAATAGGTAAACTCCCCCTCCCCCCCTCGCCAACCGGCATGTTCACCCGCATGTACAATCAAATGCTAATTTTTATGCTAATTCCTTTGTCAAGGCACCTTGTTTCTTCGCACACAGCTTAAAGGTCGCGGTCTGAGCGTGGCTGTGTTTCACTCCAGCGCTGTACTCGAGACAGTCTGTTCCCTTCACCTGATGAAGGCCGCTTGTGTTGTGGCCGAAACGTCGTGATTTTTGTTGTTTTATTTTTTACCTACGTGACTTTACCGAATAGAACCAAAGAGTATGCTTGCAGTGGTGGAAATATGACTGTGGGCCCTTTTCAAGTGGTAGCCCTCACGTGACCGCGCACAGAATGCGTGACGTGAAGCTGTTGGCCGTGTGTTAGCCATGGGCCCTGGGTTCCCCCCCACACCACCCCCCGCTGCAGGAGGAATTCCAGTTCATAGAAACGTTTGCGTCGTTTGAGCTGTGTTTTTTCCAGGTCCTTGTCTCCATACCCCTGACCCCGTGACCTCTGCATCACCTTCATGCTGGACACCTCCCTGTCCCTCTCGGCGGCCTGGTCAGCGAGCTGCGACTCGTAGTGGCGTCGCATCCCCTCAATCGACGCCTGGTTCGAAGACTCCCTCTCCGACTTCAGGGACATGAGCTGAAACGATCGTAAAGGGAACGCAAGATGAGATTGAGAATCTAAATCAAATCAACGGATCACTCGATTGTCCACGCCGCTACCATCCGTAACGTCGCCACCCGAGACACCGCCAACGTGGTGCGCATCGTTCCACTGCTGGATGGGAACGTTCCCACGTCACATTGGGGGTTTATATGACTACACTTCACCACGCCAGTTAGTGTGAGTTCCAGTTAAAGTTTATGTTGTTTAACCAGGTAAGAACTCAAGAGACCAGGGGAAGTCTCATTTGCAAGAGTGGCCTGCCGTGTGACCTGAGGCACTAATACGCCAGCAGGGAGCTATGATTGCTATGTGCAATTCCAATTGAGTGTTTTGCAGGTAATCTTTAAGCATTCAGATGTTTAACCGATTCCATTTACATTGTACTTTTTTTTTAGCAATGGGATGAAACTGGGGAATCTGGAGGAAACCCATGCACAACATGGGGAGAGAACATACAAACTCTACACAGGAAGGCACCCGAGTCGGGAATCCAACTCAGGGCCTTGCTGTAAAGTGACACAGGTGTTACGTATGTATGTAGAACTTTTTTGGCACCGTACATAGCCAACCGTGCTAATCGGAGGCATGTCGCCACAACCGCCCGGCTAAGAAGCCTCCCTTCATTCGCCTGAAACTGCATCCGTTGCTTTTTTCCCGTTTAAATCTTATTGAACAACATCTTAACATTCTAAAATTGACAATTGTCCTTGTCTCTCCCGATCTGCATGACAGCCGGTCACCGTCTCGGTTTCACGGAGGAGCAAAATGTCAACAACAACGTCTCTCCGTCTGCTCCGTTAAAGGGCATCAGCTGCCATAGTTGTCGCTATACCTGTGCCTGGTGCTGCTCCTGCTGCTGCCTCTGTTGCTGCAGCACCGACTCGGTCTTACGCTGCTGAGACTCGCACTCGCTCCGCGCCGCCTCCAACGCTCGCTTCATTTCCTGCAGGCTCAGTGAGTCAGCTGTGCCGGATGCCAGGGACTGCTGCTCACGCACGAGCGCAGAACACAAAGATACGGTTGCCGAACGAATACATAAGGTCGCGTTCGTTACACACAAAGTGCTTGCCACAAATGAACCACAATAACTTGCTGATCTTGTCAAGGAACGTAAACCGTCACGCAAACTCCGGTCATTCTCCAGTCTGCCCGGCACGCCCTGACGCACTTCACAGCCGATTATTAAAACAGGTGCTTGCGAAGAAAGCTTCTCCTCCGCGTTTGTACCTGCAGCTCCAGGCTGTTTTTCTGGAGGTTGCTCGCCAGCTGGGAGTACTGCTCGGCGAGCTGCCCCTTCTTTGGTTCTTTCGGTAAAGTCACGTAGAATGAGAATAAAATAATAAATTGATAAAATAAAATAACACAATAATATTCTCACGACGTTTCGGCCACAACACAAGCGGCCTTCATCAGGTGAAGGGACGAGACTGTCTGTCCTGCCAGACAGTCTGAAGGGACAAGACTGTCTGTCCTACCAGACAGTCTCGTCCCTTCTCTAATCCCACATTTCCACGACCAATTCTAAAGCTGGCCAGAGTTGTCACGACGCTGCTGCTGTAATCGCGGCCTGGATTTGTAATCCAGAGGCCGCCGGTCCGATCTCCCTACACGGAAGTTGAAACGATGTTGCGAATTTCTTTTAATCCCTCCACCTATGTCCACGCAGTCGTGTAAATGGGTCCGCAACAGTGAGTCGATCGGCAGGTCGTGTTTGGCGGTGCGACATGAGCAGTGGACAGGGCGAACCTATGTCGTGGGTGGGGCCACCTGAGTAGTGGGTGGGGCTACTAGAATAGTGGGTGGGGCCACCTGAGTAGTGGGTGGGGCCATCTGAGTAGTGGGGGGGTGGTAATACCTGAGTAGTGGGGGGGGGGTGCTAACTGAATAGTGGGGGGGGGGGTACTACCTGAGTAATGGCCTATGAACAGCAGCGGAGCCAATGTCAGACAGAACAGGGGTGGGCGTGGCTATGTAAAAGTAGGCGGGATTGATGGAGGGAGGTGTGGCCAGCACCCCCCACACGTGCCGGTTGAGCGGTCCCACAGACATTGTGGTGTAACTTTAAACCGGCCCCTTGTGTGGCCTCTTACCCGGACGTCATCCTGCAGACGGGCGAGCTCGTTGGTGAGCGCTCCGAAGGTCCCCATCACCAGCTTCATGGCCCTGTCCATGGACGATTTCACCTGCAACCCAAACCCCCGCGGAGCTTAGTGGATGTGTTAACTCGTCCACGGATTCCTCAGTAACTGAGGGTTCGTGACTCTGTGCCCTTAACACTCAATAAACATGAAGCTTGTGTATAAGGGGGCGTCCATAAATGACGTCACGCGATTATGGACGATTTTTGACCCCCCCCCCCCTTCGTCACACGACGTCACAAAAAGTCAGACCCCCCCCTCAAATATGACGTCACAAAGCTCTGCCCCCCCAAAAATAAAACATGCTTCAAATCGCTTTAAACTATTGTCATTGTAGTGTGTATTTAATGTGGCGCTGCACTCTGATATTGTAGGAGAAAACATTTACTAAAAAGTCTATTTAATTAAGTAGAACGTGTTGTCTATATTTATTTAAAGTTGCGCATTTTGATGTGACGTCACATTTCTCAAACCGCCGCCCCCCCCCCTCGTCACAAATGTCTGACCCCCCTTCTAGGTGCGTGACGTCATTTATGGACGGCCCCTAAGCAGCTATAACTTCCAAGGATACATGCATGCACATGCACACGTGCGCGCGCAAGGTAAATGTAAATATCGTTTTAGCTTTGCAGACTGTCAGGGAAAGTGCTGATAGCGAGCACCTAATAAAACCGGCGTGGCACACGGAGAGGGCGGAGAGGGTGGTGTGGCCTCTTTTGAGGCCGAGTTGACCTAGAGGAGGGGCCCAAGGCCGTTAGCAATGGCCAGGAATCAAAGCCAGTTGGGCGGGTTCTTAGCGCGTGTGCTAACCACTGTACGGGCAGGACAGAGGAAACGAGAAGCAATGCAAAGGAGGGCAATGAAAACGAGACAACACGAATCGATTGTTGATTTGAATCGCAATCCCCCAATTGTGACATTTCATTCAAACGACAGAGGGGCGGTGGGCGTAGCGTGGTTGGCATGGGCCCTGATGTAAGGGTCTAAATGGGGTAACCCCGCTATTCCATTTTCCCCTACCCATCCGACTTTTAGCCCAAACACCTGAGCCCCTCCGCTGCCTGGGCCCGGTGCAGTTGCACCGCCTGCACACTACTCGATAGTTGCTCCACTTGGGGCGGTGACGCGTTTTGGTGCTGTGCGTGCGAGCGAGTGGACGCGCGGGGCGCTCCTCACCTCCAGCAGTCCCCGCAGGTGCAAGCGCACCGTGTCGGACGTGCCTCCTGGGATCTTCAGGTCGATGTTGTCGACGTCGTTCTGCGGGCGGGGCGACGCGGACACATCAACTCCCGCTCTAGACGCGGTCATTCCCGATTCCACGACGCGATAATCTCTGTATCTCAAATCACATGACTTATGTATGGTCAACCCCACTCTGAATCCCATACCTGTCAACCGCCTAATCAGTACCTACCTTATTACAGACCAATTCAAAACTTATTGGTCACCCCGTGCCCTTATAAATCTCAACGTTCATCCTACAAAGTCCCATCACAAGGGAGAAACACAAACAAAGAGACAGAAAAATGTTTGCCCATATTGAAACGGCCGTACAAGAATACGGGTAAACCGTAAGGGGTTGACAGCTACGGAATCCCTCCCCACTCTCTGCTCTCCAACGCAGCTCGCTTCTGCTCGCTCCTTCTCTATCTTGATGCGGTGGAGATTTCCAGGGATATAACTAACAGGGCAAGTATATTCTTGGTTCTTTCGGTAAAGTCACGTAGAAGGGAAGAACGTTATCGAAAGAACCAAGAATATGAATCCCTGCAGTCACGAAAGCTTTAAATATAAATTTAACAGGGCAAGCGCGCACGGTGTGTCAATGAGCGCACATTACTCGCAGTGCGGAGGTCACCCCGATTGAGTCGATCTCCCGGCGCGGCAGTGGAAACGACGGTGCCAGTTTTTCAAATCCACCCCCTCCCTCCCCCCGACCCCACCCAGCAGTAAAAATGGGTTCACCACAGTTAGTTGACTGGCAGGTCACGTGGGGTGATGGGGGTAAAGTGTGGGCGCGTCCACCTCTTCGCGGACGTTTGGTCAGTGTGGAAGAGTAGACCAAATACCGTCTGGAGAGCAGTGACGTGCGGTGAGGTCAATGGCTGGGGAGGCACTGGCTAGTGTCAGAGCCAGATTCACACACTGAGGGGGGCGTGGCCTTATGGAGGGAGGTGTGGCCTCATTGAGGGGGCGTGTCCTCAGTGTGGGGGACGTGTCTAACGCAGATGCGATAGCTGCCTCCCCTGGTGCTTTTTCATTGCAGTTTCATGACGAGACCAACGAGCCTAAATATATTTATAGACATCGTGAAATAAGTTACCTGGAGTATGGAAGGCGTGGACATGAAATGAAGGGGTCTACAAACATTCCATTGGTGGCATACAGAGAGATAGTAACAGGCACGCGCTTATTACCCGTGCTCCATCCAGTTACTGAGGGTTGCGCAATCAGAGGGGAGGCTGAGCTCGTCGCTGCCTCACCCCTCCTCTCTTCCTGTATTTGCAGCAGAGCTCCGCAAATTTGGCGATTTTTGACGGCATGGTCACACAGCAGCCGCGGCACCGTTGTTGTGTTATCACGAGCGTTCGTATATCCAGCTGCTCTCTGCGTTCTTCAAAAGAGCAAATTCCGGTTGTGTTGAATGCGCGCCCGTGTGTCGTGCATACAGGGTGACCCAAAAACCAGGACACATAAAGTTATTATATATATACCACATCGGGTTATTTAATGTATTTGAACAAATGTTCAAACTGACTTCCATTAACATGAATGCATCCACGGATTATAATTTGAAATTAATTTTGTCGTTTTTTTTATATTGCAGCCGTGTAAATCTTTGAACATTCATCAATTAAGTTTTGTTCGTCTCAGTTCGTTCGGGGTTCTTGGTCGAGTTTTGTCAACGACAGATATGAGGTGACCCGAACGGGGAGAAGAAAAATAAATACGAATAGTGACAATCGAAAAAATATAACCTGAAAAAATAAAACATATTTTAACACCAGTGTTCAACTCAATTAAATAGTCCTGTGTGTCCTGACTTTTAGGCCACCGTGTAGATCGAGAGTGTGGTGAATGTGTTTCGTTTGGGCCGGCATTCTGATTCCTTGTGATCGCTCACGCACAGGCATCGGACTGAACTACCTTTATCGCTGGGCTGTCCAGGGATTTCAGCCTGGAAAGCAGAAATGTTGCCGCAGTTAGTGATCTCAGTTGAGTGTTAACTCGGGACATCAAGTTGATATTGTTGAACTGGGTGAGAACTCGAGAGACGAGGACAGAGCGACTTAGATCAGGGTCATAACACCTCCGATTAGCACAGTTGGCTCCATAAAGTGTGAAAGAAGTTCAACATACGTACATACATAGCAATGAGACATTTTTTTGTCAAACTTACCAGTAGGGGGCGATGATTGCTACACACAACCTCAATTGAGTAATCGACGATGGAGCTTTACAATTTGGCAAATACAGATCCTGACGCTGGCACACGATGGCTTACTCTTGCGAATGACGTCAAGGGATCATGACGTCAAATTTGAGTGCCACCTCACGGCTGGAAGGACTGCCATGGGGGACCTGGGCAGTGCCAGCGAGTCGCCACCCTTCCGAATGGTGGTGGAAACGCGGCATCGATGAGCTCTCATCGAACCCCAGTGTACTTGTCAGTAAAGCGTATGGCTATTTGGGGGGCAGCATCTCGTGTGCAAGCCCTGCTATACAGCGAGAGGAGGCTCGTGAGGGACGCTACTCATCGCTACTCGTCGGATGGAGGCAGTTGCTTATCACGTGGATATTTATAGCAGCCAAATACTCTGAATGGGGGGGAGGTTTGGGGGGGGGTCATACAATGTGAACCTGTCGCCATGGTCATGGTACACCCACTGTTTTCAGGCTGGGGGGCGCGAGGGACACGGGGAACTGGTGCTGGGGTGGCGGAGCGACCGGAGGAGGCGACACGAGGGGGGACACGGAGTGCTGCTCGGGGGGCGTGGGGGCGGCCGGGGAGGGCAGGCGCCTGGCGGGGCGCGGCGGCTCCGTCTGCGTCACCTCCACCTTGCTCGCCCGGCCCCTCATCTGCGCACAAAGATCACGCCGATAGCCTTCACGGATTGTCAGGGCGAGCGCTGTTAGGTAACGCCCATAGAGGATGGCACAGCACACGAGGAGGTGGGTGGCCAGCTAGACGCACGACATTTTGCCGGTAATTTTAACTAGCTTCAACATGTAATTACTGGCGAAACGTCGTACTCGGATTGTAAATGTTGTGGCTTGGCTCTCTAACACACCGGTGTGCTGTACTAGTAACGAATTGGCCACGTTCTGTTTACGTGACAACCCTTACTAATTGGCTATGTCGGGTGGTGGCGGGTTTAACGACACTTTTATATTCACGCGATCTAACCCAAAAACACTATTATGGATAATATCGGTCACAAATGCCTACGTATTAAACATCTATCCCTCTATTTAAGGAACGAAACAGGAGCATTTCTCCACAAATCTGGCTGTCACCTGATGAAACTAGTTGTAATTACTGGCAAAACGTCGTACTCAGATTGTAAATGTTTGCTCTCCAACACACCGGTGTGCTGTCCCCTCCTGCCTTCTTTCTCATCAACACCGTATCTTTAGGGGTCCCCCCCCAATCCCCGTGCTAATTTTTCATACCTTTCTTTTACTTTGGCGTGGTCCGGAGACCCCTAAGGCTCCTCGGCATGACCCCTACGTCTCCTCAGCGTGACCCCCTACATCTCTTCGGCGTGACCCCCTACATCTCTTCGGCGTGACCCCCTACATCTCTTCGGCGTGACCCCTAATGCTCCTCGGCATGACCCCTTCGTCTCCTCATCGTGACCCCTACATAACCTCGGCGTGACCCCGGACGAGCTCGAGACACACGTGGATGTTATTGCATGGGAGGCGCGGTATTAATGGGATAACTTTGATAATCGGCCTCATAAATACTGTAAACCTGAAATAGAAAAAAAATATTGTAAAGCTATACAGTTGCGTTGTAGAACCACGTGGAGACAGAACTTCTTGTTAGGGCTTTCGCCATTTATTAACACGGTTTAAACACTCGGCTCACAACAGGGGTAAGTGTTCTCTATACTCGGTCTTTCCCGTGGACCCCCAAGCTCTACTCGTCCTAACCTCGGCTATCCCTTGGGCTCTCTCAGGCCGGGACGGGGGTTCATCAAACACCGCCCGGCCAAGGAGAGAAGAACCCACTCACTCTCAGCCGATTATCATAGATTGCCTTGTCTTGTACAAGCACAAATCAATACAGTACGACAAACTATGTCAAAAAACAGTTGCACGTACAGTGTTGCTCTTATATTCAGGGTTGCGAAAAGGCGAGATGTTAACTACCTCGCCTTGTATACAGGAGGTCGTGGGTTCGATCCCGACTGATGCGTGTATATTTGGAGTCTGCATGTCTCTATCTCTCTGTGATCGCGTGGATTTTTCTCCGGGTACTCCGGTATTTCCCCTCCACATTTAGAATCAACATCACGCGTTTGAATTATTTGACTGCTATAACTTTCCACGTGATAAGCCAACTTCGTTGAGCTATCATTTGTGGCCAGGTCGCTTTTGCAAAAAAAGAGCTATACAGCTCAGTGGGTCTTCCCTGGTAAAACAAAACAATATATCTTGGTTCTTTCGGTAAAGTCACGTAGAAAGGAAACAATAAAATAATAAAAATATAAAACAATAAAATTCTCACGACGTTTCAACTGCAACACAAGCAATCATCATCAGGTGTGAAAACCACAGCGGTCCGAGACATGTCGTTTGGTTTCTGCAATGTAACTTCGTGAACACAAAGCAGACCTAAAACACGGTAGGACCAACACCTCGGCCGTGGAAGATGACTGTTATAATTCAGTAGGCTCACATGACATTGACTTCTCCAAGACATACGTTCTTTGCAAGCCATCTGGCTACCATGAGAGATTCGTTCATGAGGCTATCCACATATACAAACACAGAGACAATTTCAACCGAGAAGATGGATTCTGGCTTAGCAATCATTGGAAGGATTTGATAAACCATTTCGGGTCTTAATTGATTGTTTACGCTTATGGTGGCTTTCAGACCGCATCCATTATTTTCGTCTTCCCCCTCCTCTTTTTCGAACATAGATGGACTCGTCCATCTGAACAAACTGTCAAATCGCTCTCCGTGGTGCTAACGTTAAAATAACCGCCATTTTTTTTCAAATTTTCTTGCTGTGGTTTTCACACCTGATGATGATTGCTTGTGTTGCAGTCAACACGTCGTGAGAATTGTATTGTTTTATATTTTTATTATTTTATTGTTTCCATTCTACGTGACTTTACCGAAAGAACCAAGAATATGAATCCCTGCAGTCACGAAAGCTTTAAAGCTTTAAATCAAAATACATATTGGCACAATAATTCTGTTGTGATCAGTCTAAATAATATCTGCCCAAGCCGCCTCACGAAACAGGGAATGTATTGAACACTGGTTTATTCGTGGAGTGTTTTCCATTTCTCGCGTGAGACAGTTGTTTTTGCTCTGATTTCTATTTGCTTCATTGCTGCAGTCTACTTGACTTTACTAGTTTGTCGTTTGTCGGTTCGGTGAGCTTGAGGTCACTCTTGCGAATGAGACATCCTGGCCTATCGAGTTATCGCGTGGTTAAACAAAAGTAACGTTAAAACTGTAACATCACCACTAGATGGCAGCATAAGCGTAATCTTTACTTATACTGGAAGCCTATAGAGCTATGAAGCTAAATTTCACAGTCGGGGTTGGGTCAGCAAGTTACAAAAACAATATCAAAACACGATAGGAGTGCAAAGTAGATGCAAAGGTTTGCAAATCACTGAACACAAATATTAAACGTATACAAGTCCGATGTTTAAACACTAAATGTAAGCTTAGGCAAGGCGGCAAAACAAAAACGATCACAGACCACACCAAGACGACAACACAAAGTCCATCAATTAAATGGCATGTTAAAATTTAACTACCAATACCTATTATTATACCAATACACGGGTTTAAGGTCTCTACTTTGTAACATGCTTCCGTTAATCAGCTCAACTTGATGAGGTTAAAAGTAAACCGTTTTAGTTTTTGAAAAAATAAGAATAGGTTTTACGCTTTTCTGGCAATCAAACAGGAGGTGTTAAGATAAAAATAAAATTACATAATATACGACGTTTCGATTGCAACACAAGCAATCATCATCAGGTAGAGGAAACACATAACCGCAGATATATATACAGACCTTAAGTAGAGGGAATTAACACAGATATACCAGGGGATACAGAGAGACGGAACATCACACTAAATCAAACAGGGTTTAGCAAAATTTGGAAACTATATAAAGCAATTTTGCTGAACCCTGTTTGATTTAGTGTGATGTTCCGTCTCTCTGTATCCCCTGGTATATCTGTGTTAAGTCCCTCTACTTAAGGTCTGTATATATCTGCGGTTATGTGTTTCCTCTACCTGATGATGATTGCTTGTGTTGCAATCGAAACGTCGTATGTTATGTAATTTTATTTAAATTTTTCTTATTTCTACGTGACTTTACCGAAAAAAACAAATATTAATTCCTGCAGTAACGAAAGCATCAAATCTAGGTGTTAAGATGTTCAAACACCAAATGGATACATTTCGCAAGGAATCACGTTACTGCATTAACCACGTACTTGTGGTGAACATGCAAACAAACATGCTCTGATAATATATGGGCATTGTCTTTAAAACTGATTGGCCTACACCAGAGACAGCAGCCTTCTTTATGGCCCAGTCTCACCAGTGTCAGACGAGAGAACGCCAAAAGGTGAACAGCGCAAAGACAATGCACGTAGCGGAGCACTTATAGCTCGGGGTGAGCAGCTATATCATGAGATATCTTTAATGGAGACTTGATTCCTTGTTGTTTGAACAGCTTAACACCTGTTGTATTGCCATAAAGGGTAAGGGGCCGTCCATAAATGACGTCACGCACACACAGACATTTGTGACGAAGGGGGGGGGGGGGGTTTGAGAAATGGGACGTCACATCAAAATTCGCAAATTTAAATAAATATAGACAACACGTTCTACTTAATTAAATGGACTTTTTAATAAATGTTTACCCCTACAACATCAGAGTGCAGTGCCACATTAAATACGCACAATGACACGTGCGCACACACGTCCTCACATGTCCGCACACACACTCACATGTGCGCACACACGTGCTCACATGTGCGCGCACACACGTTCTCACATGTCCGCACACATGCACACACGTCCTCACATGTATGCACACACACACACACGTCCTCACATGTGCGCGCACAGACTCACATGTGCGCACACACACTCACATGTGCGCTGATGTATAGTATATAACCATTTATTTATTTTAGAAAATATGTTTTAAAATATTTTATTGCCAAACCTGCCTTAAAGCTGCACATACTTATTAGCATTGGCAAACTCTGTGGTTACGTTTGCCGACAGATTGGTTGCGTGTTTTGTTAGCTTCCGTGGAAACATGTCAAGTATTCTCAGGCTGAGAGACATTGTACTGTTTTCTCCTGATTATAAGACGCTCCTGAAAGTAAGAGACACCCCTAACTTTTACGCTGTGTCAATACATTTATACAGATTTGGTCAGACAAATATCCCCCATACAGTCTTAACAGGCTGCTGGGACAAGTGGTCTTTGCGAGTACAGCACACGAGGGGTGGGTGGCCAGCACCACGCATGGCCGCCTTTGTCTCCCTGGTGCTGATGTTTACACACCGAACCAGGTAATCATTTGAGGCTGAGCCGACCTCAGGGAGGCCCATGACTGGTTCAGATAATCGTCACTGATTTCGTCCGAGAGTGGGAATCGAACTCGCGTGACCGGGTTCGGAGTGCAGCACACTACCCCCTGCGCCTCCACTCCCCAATACCACACACGCTTGTATGACGCACCCCTTTAACTGACAGGGGTAAAAAGTTGCGTCGTGATTCACAGAATAAGATACAGTATTTAACGGGCACAACAATGAGTAGTGTGAACATGACTGCTGGATTGTATCTGCCTGCGTGGTTCAGTTCGTGGAGCACTCGGCTCACAGTTAGAAGGTGACGCGTTCAAATTCAAGTCGGTCGGTGGGGTTCATCCCCCGAAGGATCGATACAATGAGTATTGCTTTTTATCAGGCAGTAAAGAGTGTTTGTCTTATGGAAAGACTTTTTGCCCACCATAGGAATTAGGAATTTGCTCAGCTAGAAACTGGAGGCGCACATTGCACCACGATCAGATGAGTGGGAAGCCACGCTAATTTTTTGTTTTGTTTTGAAAGGCCCTGGAATTATGAAAGGGGCTCTCTGCTGAGCCAATATTTTTTTTTTATCTACAGCCAGATGTCCCATTATTGCAGCGACATTTTCTTTCTGCACGTGCTTCAACTCTGCGCCTCTTCTCATGTCACCTCCATTCTCTCGTTCCACCGCGTCCTCCCATAATATCACCCTCGGTCTCCGTTTATGTCTTATGGCCTGCACCGATGTCATCTCCAGAGCCCTTCTCATTGCACCTTAATCTCTTTTCTCAAACACGTGCCCAAAACAACTAGGTCTCACCTACCTTACCTTCTCGAGAACATTAGCCACTCTCTCTAAGGCTCTAATACCTTCATTCTGCCTCTGCAGAGTCAAATCCTGACGCTCTATACTTGAAAATGAGGCAATGGCTCCAATGGCAAGACCTTGTCAAACTGAGTCAAGTCCACCTGAAAGCCTCCTTGTGCCAGGAGGGACATGGTGGGTGAGAAGGTATGGTCCCACAGAATCTCTGAGGGCAGGTAGGACGTACGGGCTTGACAGACTGCACCTGTGCAATCAAAAACAAATACAAATATCAACACGTGTAGCAACGTGTGTGTGCATATATGATCAGCAATTATATCCCAGTTGTGTTATCCGAGTAACGCCATTTTAGATGAAGCAATGTCAAATTATTTATGCATCTTGGAAAACGCACAGTCCTTTGTCAATCCGCTGCTGGAGGAAGGCCACTGATGTTAGCCATGGCCGGGAATTTAACTCAGGTGGTGTGATTCATCGTGCAGTGCTGCTAACTACTGCGCCACCGCTTAACACATCAACACCTCCTTCTACTGCTTCTTTACACTCCCATCAGCTCGGCTCGACAGTGACTATGGTGGCCAATCAACTCTCTCCATCTCGGGAAGAGCAGCTGCGGAAATCCCACGCGTGCAATTTGACTGGCTCCGTTGCGTCAGTCAAACGCGCACACCCTATTGTTCAACGTCACTCATTGTTACATCTTGCGGAACAACACGCGGTTACAATGAGAAAATGCCCCAGAGAAGGCTTGTGTACACGCGGTTGGCACTATCTGCGTCTTCGTTTCATCCGGGCCACCTCCTTCTAGCGTGGAAAAGTTGGATATTCGTCCGATATTCACAACTCCAGCAGCTACACACCTAGATCCGAACTGTTACGGGAAGCTGGCCACTTCCGAATCATTGCACGATCTTAACTTTTGCTGTGAATCCTATCAAGAAATGTTTTTTATTGTGAAAGTTAATAAAAAAATCCCACACACCTGGACGTCTCACACCAACAGCTCAGCTCCACGGAACAGGTGGTTTGAGAAGTGATGCGGTTGCGTATTTTGAACTTCAAATCGACTTTGCTGCGGTCCCCTTGCCCCCCACCCCCGGCCCACCTTCCATCACCCTGCCATAATCGAGAGTCAACTCTCTCTACCTGTGGAGTCTGCGACGCCCGTGAGCGCGACGATGATCTCGAACGGCTGCCCGTCGGGGAGGCCGCCCTCCGTCAGCCCGTGCAGGGGGCTCCGCCCGTCGAGCACGTGGGTGAGCGTGGCAGGCAGCGTCAGGAATGGCTGCCGCCCGCCGCGGTCCACCGTGAACTCGACGCCGCGCTGCTCGAGGGTCACGAAGCGCCCGTCGCCGCATCCGCCGTCGGCCCCGCTCGCCGGCGACACGCGCAGGAACCGCCCCGACACGGAGCACCCGACGAGGCAGCGGGGCCTCGCGTCGGCCACGCGTACGAGCAGCCGGGGGGCGCCGCTCGCCCCTCGCTCGGAGTTCGGCGGCCGCATGACGAGCGCGTTGGAGGCGAAGCGCACGGTGCCGGCGCGCCTCGACGGGCGCGCGAGGCGCGCGAGGACGACGCCAGCGACGAGGGCGTCCGTCGCGGCCGAGACCAGCATCTGCAGCGTGAGGAGGAGGGCGGCGGCAGGGCACGCGTCGGTGACGCGCCGCACGCCGAAGCCGATGGTGGCGTGGGTCTCCAGGGAGAAGAGGAAGGCCGAGCCGAAGGACACGATGTTGACCACGCAGGGGACGGTGGCGCCGGTTTCTGCGTCTGTGGGTGTGCGTGTCAGGTCGCCGTGGTGCAATGCCAGTGCGTACCTGCCGCAGCGGAAACATCGCGTTTGTCGTTGTTAAAGATCGACGTGATTTGCAATCTGCTGGGTGGATGAAGCCCTCCCCTGGTTCTACTCGGTTATGGGGGCTGCTTAATAATTATTTGTGCGGGTTGGTGAGGGGGGGAGAGGATATTACTCACCACTAAGGTTAGCCGTGTGGGGGGGGGGGGATATTCTCGTCACCGGGTTCATAGCGCAGTGTTGTTGTTTGTGAAATTAACACAAAACAAAAGTAATTTACAACAGGTTTGATGACTAGAAATCGGTATGGGAGGGACATAAGTGGAAAATACAACAGGATAATGATTTAACTTGGACCAGGGTCCGAATTGTGTTCCATTCCATCGTGCACTTGCAGAATACGATGGGATGAAACACTTTCGGAAAACTGAAATAGATCATGAAAAGTAACAAAGAAAATGCAATAATAACACATCCAATCAGTGCATATTACCGACGAGGCTACAAGGCCATATGGATGAGAAGCGTTGATAACGACAACGAAATCTAAACAAAAGCTGGAGAAGTACACGGTTGGAATTACACTGCAAGGCAGGAAGACGAACACGTGGATTCCAGAAGATACACAAGATACATAATGTTAAATTTCGCACAGTAATCGCTCACTTTTGAAGGGAGAGGATGACCCGGAGACGTGAGGAGGAACCACAGCAAGTGAGAAGGCGGCAGCCAGGCGGTGAGCCGGCGCTACAATCCATTGCTCAAGCTCTGTGGTCCTCTAGATATGAAGATATTTTCAGCCAATTACTGAGTGTTTACACGTGGGAAGAAGCTGGAGCACCCGGAAAAAAACCCACCACGGATTCAAGGGGGCAACATTCTATCCCGTACAGATGGAACAGATTATACTAGTCTGCACTTTGCTGTACCGCATTCTTCTGGCAAGCCAAGGTATCGCACCGTGAAGCCCACGGGAATGAAGTTTCACAACAGCTGCGTGACCCACCAACTTTTACACAGACAGTGCTGGATTACACCTATGCATAGCCACCACCGCCCAACTAATATTCGAGGTTAAAGAAGGTAAGCGAGCTAGTTTGGACACATTACGAGAAGGGATGATGGCCAATGGTTGAGACAAACTCCCTGGGAGAAGCCCAGCCCCACGATATTGGTCATGACGTCTCTGCCCTGCCGTGGGCCTTCAAAATGTCACGGAGCTCCACAGAGTGTGAACCAAACGCCGCAAAGTGGCTCAGCATGAGCATAAACCCCGTGCCAAACACCCAGCCCCATCGGGTAGATGAGATGATGCCAACCTTGGATGCAGGGCCGTGAGGCCAAGGCTTAGGTCCGAGACTAAAAGAGCCATAAGGCCGAGGCCTTTTTACGTCGGGGCCAGCGTCAAGGCCGCATCTATGCTGGCTGATTGGCTCGTGAGCAAAGCTCGTACGCTAACTGCCAAACACTTTATAACAAATCCGATAAGTTACGTCTAATTAACCTCCTCACAGTTTAATATTTGGCGGAAGAAAAACGCTTTTTTTTCAATTGAATTCAGCAATCGGTCAACATTTTGCAATGTTGTGAAAATTACGATGATGGAGAAATGACACCAGAACCGATTTTAAACAATATCCAAGTCCTCGAAGTCCTGGGACTGAGAAACAACCACGAGGCCGAGGCCCGAGACCAGGGAAAAATGCCCTCGAGTCGAAAAGTCAGGCCTGGACGCCAGCCGCCAAGTGTGCTGCCCTCGTGAGCGAGGCACTTTTAACGCTCCTGGGACGCACCACAGGAGGCCAAAGAGGCCGACGCTGCCCAGCGTCAGTGACAGGAAGAGCAGCAGCTTGCAGACCCAGGCCATCTCGAGCAGAGAGGTCCACGTGTCGCGGCAGTACTCCCAGCAGTGCGCGTGAACGTTGGCGATGGCCACGTTGCTCGAGCCGTCCTTGTTGATGAGTCGCTTGGGCCTCCGCGACTCCGCAGCGGCCCCCGGAGGGCCAGACCCGTCCACTAGCGCCGACACGGTGGGCACGGCCGAGGTGGTCCTCCGCTTCATCTTCTGCTCCGCCGTTCAATGTCCTGAAATTTAAAAGAAAAGCACAATAATGTTACTCGATAAACGTATCAATAGTGGAGAAACCTCTCCTCTTATAATCTGTGTTGACATGGGGTTGACTATCCACCCGTGGTGGTGTTAAGGGTCAGCGCACTGGACTTGCAATCCAGAATCCACCGATTCGATTCCCTCTCCGGCATGGAATTTAAAGCGGTGGTGCACGTTCCGTGACTACCTCCCTCGCCGCACGCCTCTGTCCACCCAACAATTATCGATGAGTACACCACAATTAGTCATTCGGGTTAGGTCCATAGAAAGCGCAGATTATAGGATGAAGTTTCCACAACTTAAATTTCGATTTAAAGCTGTCGTGACTGCAATGATTCATCTTCTTTGGTTCTTTCGGTAAAGTCACGTAGAATGAGAATAAAATAATAAATTAATAAAATAAAATAACACAATAATATTCTCACGACGTTTCGGCCACAACACAAGCGGCCTTCATCAGGTGAAGGGACGAGACTGTCTGGTAGGACAGCGCTGGAGTGAAAGAGCCACGTTCAGATCACGGCCTTTAAGCTGTGTGAGAGGAACAAAGCGCCCTCAACTTTAGCACTTTGTGTTGTGGCCGAAACGTCGTGAGAATATTATTGTGTTATTTTATCAATTTATTATTTTATTCTCATTCTACGTGACTTTACCGAAAGAACCAAAGAAGATTTCCACAACTTTCATACAATACTCCTAAAATAATAATGTTGAAAATAAATGATATCCTTTTGTCAATCCACGGCTGGGTGAAGGCCTGACGTAGGTCACGTGGGTTGTTTGACAATACTTCACCACGCTGGTTAGTGCCGATTGGTGAAGGGGGTGCAGCATAGACGTGAGAGCATAGAAAGTACAGCACAACAATGGATAGTTCTGCACAGTTATGTGCCTCAGCAAACTAAAACAACTTGACATGCATCGTGTTCACCCAACCAGCAGGACCCAGGTTCAATCCTGATTATCTTCTAGATCTGATTATATAGGGTGGATTTAATTGAATTGGGTCATCGGCTGCTGGATTCGTATAACTATACTAATGCCCGTAGCAAAGTGTACATTTTACACTCTTTGGGTACCCGGGTTTCCTCCAACAAGGTCAAAGGTTAAAACTCAAGTGGTCATCCCAGCCATTAATGCCACCACGTCCTGCCATTGATCTCCTTTTCTCTGACCCCACAACTGTTTGCACAGTTGACACGTCCGTGTACCACAGCAGCAGCAGTTCAGCTCTAATAAAGTGCTTCAACGTTTGGCTTCAGGTCTTCCCCTTCCTTGATCAGCTGGTCAGCTCCCACAAAGTACCCCAACCTCTGGCATTAGATCTTCCCCTTCCTCGGTCAGCAGGTCAGCTCTCACAAAGTGCCCCAACGTCTGGCTTCAGGTCTTCCCCTTCCTCGATCAGCAGGCCAACTCTCACAATGTGCCTCAACGTCTGGCTCCAGGTCTTCCCCTTCCTCGATCAGCAGGCCAACTCTCACAATGTGCCCCAACGTCTGGCTTCAGGTCTTCCCCTTCCTTGACTGCCGACCACTGGGGGGCCACGCAATGCCCGTCTTGGTCACCCCTCTTCCTCCTCCTCCGCCGTGCACACGAGTCCCAAATTATGACAGCCGCCTCCTCCTCTTGGTTAACACGTGACCACTATTCCCTTTTGCCACATTATATTCTGGATACTCTGCCATGAAATTCCTATCGTCCTCCAATTAATTGTATATATGCTGTACAAACGGCATATATCCGCCCTGGCCAATAAACCGCCAACACCCAGTGCAGTGTTTAATTTAGTCGACATGATTGGTTCCACCTATTATGCGAACATTCTCTCGTGGAAAACAACAATGGACGTAATACAAATATTTAAAAATCAAGTCATCACAGATTAAGTTTACTTAAATCCCATTTGTGCATAATGTTACTGTCGTCCATACAGATGTTCACATAATCGACCTTTTCGAATATCCGCCTCTACCTCAGCCCCCCCCCCACCCAGCGAATGGGACATACGACGTTGTGCGGCGCTCGCAATGGAACGGGAGCTTACTTTCGAATTTATTTATTTTGTTCATCGCAACAATACAATAACAGCGCTGATCAAAACCAATGGCCACACTAAATAATAATAAAAGAATACTGCACACGGGAACTAGACAAATGACCCTTAAAATAGGCTGGCTCGACGGAAACATTGCCGAGTAAACAAACACATTGTACAAAATACAAACACATTGTACAAAATACAAACACATTGTACAAAATACAAACACATTGTACAAAATACAAACACATTGTACAAAATACGAACACATTGTACAAAATACAAACACATTGTACAAAATACAAACAGATTGTACAAAATACAAACACATTGTACAAAATACAAACACATTGTACAAAATACGAACACATTGTACAAAATACAAACACATTGTACAAAATACAAACACGTTGTACAAAATACAAACACATTGTACAAAATACAAACACATTGTACAAAATACAAACACATTGTACAAAATACAAACACATTGTACAAAATACAAACACATTGTACAAAATACGAGAAGGTAATTTAGCGCAATTATGATATAATTGAGGCACTTACTTTAAACACAATGCGCTCTTTGATGGGGGAATCCCACACACAGCACTCTCTGCCACCGACCCCACTGCCTCTGAACGCCAAACTCCGACTGCCTTGATCAAAACCCCACAGCCAAATGTTAGCTCCGCGACATACCGAATGCACTTATCAAGAGTAAGCCGGTATATATATATACGTTTTGACGAACATCCCTCTGTTAGTCTTTTGTACGGTGTGACCAGTTCATACCACCTTTTGTAGGAGTGACGCCGTTGCTGGATTTAAGTGGAAAGGGCCACATTGCTGGCCTCGGTTTGGCATGCAAGGACCCACCCAAACGAGTGTGTTGGGTAAACACAGGACAAATGACGTTCCTTGCACAAGGGCAAGTCAGTCTTGATCTGGTTTGTTTTGGGGGGGGGGGGGGGGGGGCTTCGTTAACAATGTTTATAGTTAATAACAAATACATATACACATAATCTCTCTTTACCGAGGCAAAGCCTATTTAAAGTGCTTTATCAATCCCTCATTTTGTTCAAATCGTGCCGTAAGAGGCACTTATTTTTAATGGGTTTTTATTTCTTTAATCCTGTGTTTTGGGGTTGGATCTGATTGCTGTGAGGCCTACACGTTCGTGTGCTTTGTACCGCGCTTTGTGATCTCCGGGTGAAAGGCGCCTTAGAAGTGTAAATCATTATTAAATTATCATTGTCAATAGATTGATAGCGAACACCTCCTCTTGCGGTGTTGGCCAATGTCAGGTTTTGTCAGCGTGGGGAGCGGGACTGCTCCACCAAACCCGTTCACCCGAGTTCCATTTCCACTCACGGACCAACCGGTCTTGGGCCTCCACACGGTCACCTCAGCCTTAAAATGAGCAGCTGGGGGTGCGGTGTGTAAAAATCGGCATTGGGGAGACAAAGGCAGCTGACCAGATGTGGTGCTGGCCTTCCCACCGCCTCATATCCCGTGACGGCCTTAATAGGTGCTCGCTGACAGCATTTGCGGCAGCAGTCTGTTAAAGGCTATGTGGGCTATCTTTGACTTGAACCGAGTTTCACAGCAACAGCAAAGCAACTTACATTTGTGACGCACCCATATTGTAACAAACGTGTCGGGCTACGCTTGTTAGTGTGGGCTTATCAAGGTGCTGGGACCCACGTAGGACCGGTTCGAATATCACTTGCCACTGATGTGAGCCGTGGCCGGGAATGGAACTGATATCGTCACCGGGTTAATCGCGCAGTGCGCATACCACTGTGACACCGTTCTACTCGAAAGCCTTATACTGTTCAGAGTCTCACACCTATCCAGGGGGAATTGCTTTGATGTGTGGCCAGTTCGTAGTAGTAGTAGTAGTAATAATAATGCCCTTCGTTTACACAGAGAAAGTCTGAGCCTCCAGACTCTCATTCAGAACGCGTCCTGCAATTAGGATATTTTGCCAATTAAATCAATGAGAAAATCAAAATAACTCGCACGGCTGATTTGATCACGTCATCGGTCACGTAGTCATGTAATCATAGTTTAGGCTTGTCTCACCGCGCACAATATCCGCTCACTCACGCCGAGGGAGAGTGAATGATTCAGAGGCGTGAGGTCGAACCACTGAGAAGTGTGAAGGCAGCACCCACGCGGTGAGCCGGCGCAAACAGTTGCCGGAGCTCTGCGGTCCTCTATACATTAAGGTGTTATCTGCCAATTAACGAGTGCTTATATGTGAGAGGAAACCGGGGTACCCAGAGAAAACACGTGCGTGCGAAGGGGAAACGCTATATCCCACGCAGTGGCAACGGTTGGGAGTCCACATTTCGCTTCACTGCCTTCTCCCGGTGAGCCTGGATATGGGCACCTCCTCGATGCCCGCTCACGGGAAGGGAGTTTCACAACATTAGTGGGATACACCAACTCTCACCGCCACAGTGCAGGATTACAGGCGTGTGTAGCCACCTCCGCCGTATCGACGTGTTGATTATTACGCTCAGACACTTAATATACTGCAGGATCGTGAGAGAAGGCGGCAGCCGGAGGAGGCCTTCATCCAGCAGTGGCTTTACCCAGACTGGTGATGATAGTGGGCTTACAGTAGCCACGTGAGCGAGGGTCATTACCCAGGAAACATGAAACGACGGGCCAACGGTTTAAACATACGCCAACGTTGAGCCAACGTTGGTCCAACGTTGACATGTCTACTGGGTAGGCATGCAATGATTTTCCCATTGTTGGTTGGCTACGTACGGTGCGAAAGAAGTTCGACATACATTGTGATTCAGGGGCGCAATTGCATTTCGAAATAATTTATTTTAATTCTACGTTAGTGAAATGGGGCACCTCTAGTGGCGGTAGAGATTCCACGTGACCTAATTATATACAACGCAATACGAATCGGAAATAACTAATTCTTACGCGAATGACCCGATGCGTGTAAGAGGTCAAGGTAGAGGCCTGCTAAGCCCACTGCCGGTGGAAGGGACCCCCACTAGAGGGAACTCTAGAGAGAGCCCCCCCCCCCCCATAATCCCCCAACCCGCACTGACCAATGTAGTGAAGTATGGTCAAAACAGCTCACACGACCATAGGGAAGCCTTTGTCCAGCAGTGTATTGAAAAGGGCTGTACATTCATAATACAATTACAGGGTGGTGTAGTGGCAACGCTTGTGCCTCGCAGCAAGAAAACCATGGGTTCAATTCTAGACTCAGGTACCTTGTTGTGTGTAGTTTGTATTCTCTCCCCCTGTTTTGGATGGGTTTCCTCCGTGTTCTTTGATTTCCTCCCGTAGCTACAACAAATTAACACAATGTAAATGGCTTTGTCCAAACATCCCAACACTAACTCACATGTAAGCACTCGTAATAAATATGTCGTTAAACCCGCCACCACCCTGCACAGCAAATTACTTGTAAATGTTGTGGATTTGCTCTCCAACACATCGGTGTGCTGTACTAGTAACGAATGTGCATGTTCTGTTTACGTGATAAATCTTACTAATTGGCTGCGTCAGGTAGTGGTGGGTTCAACGACACATTTATATATATCTAACCCAATAAAACCTGTATTATGGATGATATTGGTCGCGAAAGCCTATCACGTGTTAAACTCGATGGGTATTGTCATCGCCTCTGAGAGGTGACACTTTTCTCGCACTCTACCGGTCGAGTATTCCTTTCTGGAATGCAAACTGACGTTTATCAACATATTGTCCAAGCGGCAAGCGTGAAATTTCCACAACTACCGCATCGCCGAATCGAGGTTGAATCTTTGTGAAGCGTCAATCGACAACCCTGGACATCGTTGCGAAGTGAGATATTTTATTTCGAGAAATCATCCAGCTGAAAATATTTCAACAAGTAAAAAAAGATAAATTAATTAAACGGATGAAGACATTATTGCAATGAGCGTTGAGGCGATGATTATCTCCAATTTTCAGCCCTGAGCCATTGGTGAAAGTTACACATTCCTATGGCAGGGAAAAGTATATCCATAGCACAACCACTGCTGACTCCCCCACAAAGTGGTAACTCATTTGATTGACCACGAAGGACGACTATGATGATGATGATGGGCTGAGTCGACCACCCTAGCAGGATTTGAACTCGCAATCTCTGCAACCACGAGGCGCTCGCTGCTTAGCCGAGCGATCTGCAGAACAGCTTAGGCTGCCAATGCGTCTGTCTCCTATGTCCTTGACTGAAGGGTGGCGAGTGTGTTTGTGTGCGCACACGTGTTCACGCGGTGCATTGCCTCACTTTCGGTGGAATAGTTTCCACGGCCCGTCACGGTGGTGGCATCTGCCCGCTCAAAACCCAGCATAAGGCGATCTCGGAGGCTCCCAACACAAATATCGCAATGATAGAAATAACAAGACCTTGGCGAAACACGAGGTTGCGCAAAAGAACACAGTAAAGATATATCTTATTTTCAATGGAACAAAAAAGAAGAAGAGACGTTACATAACAGCGGTTATCAGCAGCAGCCGTGATCCCTCCACTGCTAGATGAAGAAGAAATCCCGACCTCCAATCCGTCAGTCGCACATCGCTTGCGGTGCGACGATACAGCTATCCGTCGTCTGGATCCTGCCCACAAACTCATCTCATTGGCTCCATATCCCGGCTGACACAGTCTCCCACTTGTCTCGACCGTCAGCCATCAATCATCCTTTCCAGTAACTGATCTTTGACTTATCAGAATATGTATTTATACTGCGAGGAATCCGATTAGCGTGAAATCTCTTTTTCACAGATGTCAAGTAGGGAGGGGCGGGTCAGCAAGTTACAACAAACAATGCAAAAACACGACAGGAGTGAAAAGTATAAGGAAGGTAAGCAAATCCGATGATCTATGAAGCTCTTTTTCACAGATGTCCTGAATGGGCAGGTCAGCAAGCTACAACAGTCAAAATAAACACCGTTTAAAAATAAATAAATACAAACCGCCACTTCTTTCAAATGTTTCTTGCCGTTGGTTTTCACATCTGATGATGACTGTTTGTGTTACAGTCGAAACGTCGTGAGAATTTTATTGTTTTATATATATTTTTATTATTTTATTGTTTCCCTTCAACGTGACTTTACCGAAAGAACCAAGAATATAAAATAAGAACTTCCAAGAATTTGTTCAGAGCATTCTGTGGCTTCATAAATTCAGTAACCTATTTGGGAATGTGCAAAAAAAAACCTTGTCTTCTTGGTTCTTTCGGTAAAGTCACGTAGAATGGGAATAAAATAATAAAATAAAATAAGACAATAAAATTCTCACAATGTTTCGGCCACAACACAAGTGGCCTTCTTTAGGTGAAGAGACAGGTCTGTCCGGAAGACAGAGCTTGAATGAACGCTGTCATGCAAGGACCGCGTCTATTAAGCTGTGTGGGCGGAGTTAAGATATGAATTTGCATGTTACCAGCATCACCTCCGGAGAGGATGCTGGTAACATGCAAATTCCGGAGGTGATGCTGTTACCAGCTGTTACCAGCATCACCTCCGGAGGTGATGCTGGTAACATGCAAATGTATATTTTAACTCCGCCCACACAGCTTAATAGACGCGTTCCATGCTTAACAGCTTTCAGGACACAACAGCGCACCTTGGCTGTTGCACTTGCCCCTTTTCTTTTTTCCTCTCTGCCTGTGTTTCCAGCCCCCTCCCTCCTCCTCTCCGGAGGTGATGCTGGTAACATGCAAATTCATATTTTAACTCCGCCCACACAGCTTAATAGACGCGGTCCTTGCATGACAGCGTTCATTCAAGCTCTGTCTTCCGGACAGACCTGT